TTTAAGAGAAAACTTCCCCTCTGTAGTGTCATTATTTGACCTCCATTTAACTAGTTATGCCTAATTCTTCCACTAAATAGTAAGGGACTTGGTTAAAGTAACAGAGTATTCATTTGTGGTGACATTTTATTTATATGTTAATAAATAAAGTTGCCTGGAGATCAGAGGACAAAGCGAGCCATAAACAAGTCAGGTGGTGGTGGTAGCCCACACCCTTAATCCAATCACATGACAAGCAGAGTCTCTGTGTTGTCAAGGACACAGTCAAACATGGTGACATAAACCTTTAATCCCAGTACCAACCAGACACCTGGAGGTCTGTACAGACAGGCAGTGAGTGAGGAGGAAGTCATGTGGCTGGGCTTAGAGCCAATGAGAAGGCAGAACAGGAAGGCAATAAAGCTCAGTTTAGACAGGAGGAAGCTTGCTCTGTGGAAGCTACTGCATGGTGGTAAGCTAAGGCTAGTCGTGGTTATTGGCTCTGATCTCTTTGGCTATTACCTCTGTTTTGATTCGGGGGTTTCTTATTTAATAAGACTAGTTAGAAATTCGTCTACATTCCTTTTCTACAGATTCAAATTACATTTTCACTACTTCTCCTCTGTGACAACTCTAGTTTTGGTTCACAGATAATGACAATGAACTGTCATCAGGATGACTCATAGCACAATGGAAGGCAACTCTTGACTTAGTTCTATCCAGGAGAAAAAAGGTTCATGTAGTAGTCTAGGCATTTTTATGGCTAACAAACTTGGGCTGCATGTTCCAGAGATGAGGTGAGCATAAGGTTCAAATTTTATTATTTCTCTTACACTGTGTGGTGGTTTCAATGAAAATGAATTCCACAGGCTCAGGGAATGACATTATTTGAAATATTAGGACATGTGGCCTTATTGCAGTAGGTGTAGCCTTGTTGGAAGAAGTGTGTCACTGGGGGTAGGCGTTGAGGTTCCAAATGCTCAAGCCAGGCCCAGTGGCTCACTTTTTCTGCTGCCTGCCAGTCCAAATGTAAAACTCTCAGCTCCTTCTCCAGCAAGCACCATGTCTGTCTGCATAAAACCATGCTTCCCACCAAGCTTCAGAGGACTAAACCTCTGAACTGATAAGCTAGCCCCAATTAAATGTTTTCCTTTGTAAGTGTTGCCATGGTCACGGTTTCTCTTCAGTTTGAGAACCCTAATACCTGCATACATGCTTTCTTAAACTTGTCAAATAACCCAAAGCTCTAGATGAGAAAAGGGAGGTAAATAGAGAGGGCATCTCAGAGATAATTAAATTGGAAGGATGACTAAGGAGTTTTCGAACACTTTGTGATCTTTACCCAATTTACAACTGAGTTAGTTTGATACTAGTTTTGACATGTTTTAGTTCTTCCTGTAAGAGGTTAATGTTAGTGGCTTATTCCTTGGTGTGATAATGTTAAAGTGATAGAATCTTGTATGAGATGGAGCATGGTGCTAGGTGGTTGGGTCTCTAAGAATATATCCTCAGAAAGGATTGAATATTTCTCATGGAACCCGTTAGTTCCCCCAAAATAATTGTTATAAAAGGGCAAGAGCACTCCTTCAAAATCCATTCTCTGCTCTTCTGCCTCACTGCAATTTGTCCCTCTAATCACGCCTTCCAATGATGGTGATGCCATTTTACTATAGAACCCCCATCAGAATCCAGTGGCAGTCAAAGCCAATCCTGGCCCCTCAGAGATATGAGCTAAAGAAACTTTATTCAATCTCAGATATTTCCTTATAGCTATGGAGAACAGATTAATAAGTTGATAACATAACTAAAATCTCTTACTTAAATCTTACCGTTTTATGTTTACATTTTATACTAACTTATGGTACTAACATTGTAGATACTATTATCCCTATAGAAATGAGACACAGAATAAAATAATTCTCCTCATGTTATAATTTAGGCTATAATGTAGTATTTAAATTCAAAGCATTTTATTCCTGATGCTACTACCTCCAGGACAGGTGGTATATGCTTGAGATCTCCACATTGGAGGCTGAGATAAAGGGCTATAACCTCAAGGCAAGCCTAGGTCCCACTGTAAGACCTTGTTTCAAACAAACAACAGAAAAACAAAACAAACAAAAAAAACCAAAACACAATTATAATGTTTGTATTATTTAAGACTAAAACTTCGTATTACCATTGTAGGACATGAACACAAAATTAAGCTTATTTTAAAAACTCCTAATTTTATTTATTCTATTCCTACTTGTATCTCCTTTATTTCCAAGTCCAACTTCTAGGAGAGAACCCTAAGCCATCTTCAGCTGTACCATTAATCTGTATATAATTATGTTATTTTCTACAGTCTCAATCTCTTTTTATGTGTGTTTTGCTTTTGCATTTTGAGACAGACTTTATCTGTGTAGTTCTGGCTGTCCTGGAACTCAATTTGTAGACCAGTGTTCTCAAACACAGAGATCCACCTGCCTCTGTCTCAGGAGTGCTGGGATTAAAGGCCTATGTCACCACCCAACCTATCTCAATCTCTTTTTCACTTTATTCTTTGGATTATCCTTCCTATGTTCAAGACCCTGGTTCTTCTTCAGTTTTTGTTATATTCATTTAAGAAAATCTCACCTTTGATTAAATTCACATCCTAAACCTGTATTCAAGGATAGCACTTAGAACTTCAACACTCAATGCACTATTTTGAGAGGTACTGTAAATTCTTAGAAGGAACTTACATGGAAAATATTGGTCACTGTAGATTTTTCTTAAGAGCTGTGTCTTGCCATGTCCCTTTCAAGTTTGTCTCTTTAAGGTTCCTGTCTGCTGCAATGTAGCAATTCTGTTCTAAATGGCCCTCAACCATGTTGTATTGTCTCACCATAGCTCCAGAAATAATAGGAGTCAGAAACCACAGACTAAACTCTGAAACTTTAAGATATAAATCTTTCCTTCTTTAAGAATGATATTCTCAGGCATCTGCCACGTAAACATCAAAAATTTAACATAATTAATGCCAATAAAAATGTAATACGGTCTACCAAACTAAAAGTATCTAGGCTGAAAATATGTCTTTCACAGCATTAGTATTAATGAGCTACTTGTGTTCCTCTTTAAAACTATCCTTTCTACTTATATGCAAGATCTATAATTCAGAAACAGTCCTTTCCTTTCTACAATGTTTCTTCCTTTTATCAGCCCCATTACCAAACCAATTTCTTTGCCAATCTTAAAAGCAAAAAAAAAAAAAAAACTTGTTAACAAATGTCCCATTAAAAACCTATTTCCCTTGTCCAATTAAAAGGCAGCTTTTGCCGGGCAGTAGTGGCGCACGCCTTTAATCCCAGCACTCGGGAGGCAGAGGCAGGTGGATCTCTGTAAATTTGAGGCCAGCCTGGTCTACAAAGCGAGTTCCAGGAAAGGCGCAAAGCTACACAGAGAAACCCTGTCTCAAAAAACAAATAAAAAAAGACAGCTTTTAAGAATTATCTTCTAAGTGGATGATATAATAATAATGCAATACACTAATAATGCACATATAACTTCAAAACAAAACAATTAAATTTTTTGATAACTGAACATACAAAGAGTATACTTATTATTTACCTGAGAGAGAATTGTTTTCAATTTTTATTAAAATCTTCTCGTCCATTTTACTGAATACCATCTCTCTTTTTATCCATCTAACCATTCACTCTGATCCAGGTCATGTGTACAGCTAAACCTTAATCTTCTTTAGTGACTCATTGAGGAACTTCTGTATTTGTCTACTGTCTGCAGCAGATCTCAAGATTTTCCTTCTTGTTCTCTACTAAAGGTTCTTTATCTATTTGACCAGCTAAACATTATCCGCATGTCCTAGGGTTCACCTCTATTTCTAATTCTTATTGAATTCTTTCATTCTGCCCATTCTACAATGCCATAAATACAAGGAAAGAATCTATAATTCTCAAGGGCATATCGGTGACGGCACCAGCTGTAGCAGGAATCTTAAATGGAGCCAGGTATTGGGGTGAACGCCGGAACATCGGAGAAGCAGAACAAGCCACAGCTTCCTCACCTCACCAATTCCTCAGCTGATCCTGTTTCCTCAGACTGGAAGCTTCTGTGTCCTCATCCAAAAATGGATCTCAGCTGAACTGCTGTTCAAAGCCTGAAATCTTAACCAACTAGTTCCTGGTTTTCACAGCTTATATACCTTTCTGCTTTCTGCCATCACTTCCTGGGATTAAAGGCATGAGTCACCATGCCTGGCTGTTTCCAGTGTGGCTTTAAACTCACAGAGATCCAGATGGATTTCTGCCTCTGGAATGCTAGGATTAAAGGCGTGTGTGTCACCATTTTCTGGCCTCTATATCTAGTGGCTGTTCTGTTCTCTGACCCCAGAAAAGTTTATTAGGGTGCACAATATTTTGGGGAACACAATACCACCACAACCAGCCTCTGGGGAGCCGCTCTAAGGTAAAGGTATATTCTATATAAAGGTATATTCACAGGTGACAAATAAGAACTTTTGTAAAAATCTAATTCTTCTACCAAAAATAAATTTTACTAACAGAACAAAATAATTTACTATCTTTGAGCAATGGTTCTACAGAAATTAAGTTTACAGATATAAAATTCAAATTAGAGGTTAGAAATGGTCACAAATATTAACACTTTATAACAGATAAATCTACCATTATCAGGAGAGGGGGCGGTGATAGTCTCAATAAAAATTGAAACTCTTCTTAAAACAATTGCCTAAATAATACTTGTAAAAATATGTGTAAAAGTGTATTGTATATAGGTAAGAATGAAAAATAAAAGTATTAAGAATCATAAAGGAAAATGTATAGTTAGTACTAAAAAATTAATAGTTCATATTCATTGCTAAGTAACAATTCCTTAGATATATAAACAAGTAATAAAAAATTATCGACACTGCTGAGAAGAAAATAATTTATTATATATGCAATAAACTATTATAAAATATCTCCAAACACTAATGTGAAGATATGAGACTTTTGAATGCTTTCAAAGTTGTTACGCACAGTTCCAAGGTCCAGATGGCCAATTTCTTCTCTCATAGTTCCACAGTACTTGAAAGACAGAGAATTCAGAAGGAACCTAAAACACCACAAAAGCCCATTAAAAATAATAATAATTCAATTCATTAACTTTAAAAAGCCCAAATACTTATATGTAGAAAATTAGTGAATCATGTCAGCACAACAAAATATATATTAATGACTGCTACTTATAATATTATAATACTTAAATCTAAACTAATTCAATTGTGTATATCAAGAGAATATAATCTCAGTTTTGGTAAGTTTCTAATATTAGGGTGACAAATAAGAGAATTTTGAGTAGTTTTATAGCACTTATATTAGCACCATTTCCGACAAAATGCTGAGGATTTTTATTTTACTACTAAAAAAACATTGTATGACTAAGTTGGTATGCAATGGCCAATCACTTTAACTAAGTAGCATCTAAACTTGTCAGTGGTCCTTTCTATTACTAAGGGAACCTTTAAAATTATATTGGGCGTAATTTCAAGTGATTTTGATTTATAGTTCTAAGATAAAAGTCTAAAAATATTTATACATAGAAACTCTTCCTCTATATTAATAATATACTAGAATCAAACTCTAAGTCAGAAAACGGGTAATATATTATTACCTAATTTAGAGTTATCAGAATTTAAGTGTGCAGGAAAATTTGAGACTAACTGTTCTGAAAGATTCTAGTCATCATACAGCCTGGAATCACTGTTCTTATTTCTACAAGATAATTTACTAAGCTATCTGAAGTATAACATGTTTTACTTATTATTCTTTTCAAATTTATATATGTACATCAAAATTTATATATACATACATATATATTTAAATCTAGGTTTTTAATTTTTCATTTTTGTTTTAAAAAGACCAAGAGTAAGAGAAATCCTTCCACTTGTCAAAGACATTTCATTTAGACTGTCGATGTGGTATCTGTTACTCTACTTTGAGATTTTTATAGAATTTTGTTAATTTCAATATACTTATTAATAAAGGGAAAAAAGATCCTTTCCCAGTCAAATTTTAGAACATGTTATATAGAACAACTCTGCTGGATAGCCTTGTCAACTTGACACAACACCGAATAACCTGGGGAAACAGTCCTAGTAAACCATTATCTAGACTATGCTGGTCTGAGGGCATAAGATGGTCTTGATTATTAACCGATGCAAGATCCAGCCAATTTTGCGTAGCACCATTCCTTAGGAAAGGGGACCCTGAACAGTGTAAGAGAACAAAAAGCTAGCTCAGACTAAGCAAGTGAGGATCTATATGTTTATTCTCTCTCTGCTCGACTGCAGATATGAGCTTTTAAACTCATGCCTTGCCTTCCCCACAACAATGAACAGTAACTTGGAATTATAAGACAAATAAACCCCTTCTTCCCTAAGTTGCTTTAGGTCAGGGTATTTGTCACAGCAACGGAAATGAAACTAGAACGATACCTCAATGGGATATGCCAGGAAACAGAAAGCCAACAGAGAAGAAACACTACCACACTCTGCAGTCAAACATAGGTATACACTAAGTGACCTGATTCACTAACTTTCCCTGAAAAAAACTCCTTGATTATATGACAACATAGAAAGTTAAACAGTGAATCTAGAATACATGTAAAATATTTGTTCAGGCTACAAAACTAACTTGAGAACCATTTCATTTGAATGAAGTATAAAAAGTTTTGCTTAATCTGGATAAATGATAGAAGGAAGACAAAGCATTTCTAGAAAACAAAAAGAAACAAAACCACTGCCCCAAAAAGGATACAACAAGAAAGGATACACTTGTATGACAGTATTACAGCAGTATTTACGCAGGAATGCTTCTAAAGAAGAACAGCAGAATGTAGTTTATTTTTTTTCTACTTGGTAGCAAATAGATTTATAAACGATTTACTAAACAGACTGAAATTCTTCATTTTTTCTGTACAGTACTTATGAGACATCTGATTGTCTTGAAAGAAAACCGAAATACTCCAAGAAACTCAGAGAGTCAACATTAAGCGAATCTTTCTATTTTTATAGTGTTTTCCCCAGTTAAACAGCAATTTTGACCAATTATTTTCATGTTCTTCCAGGTTCTAAGAGTAGAAAAACTAAAAGTAAAATATCTCTAACTCACACCCAAAGAACTCAGAAAGAACTATTTCCACTCATTTCCCAAAATATCCCAACAATTTAAAGTCTACAGCTCTACCACTTCAAATCATTTACTTACTTACATAGGTAGTCAGTGTGCTCCAAATAAATTATGCCTCAAAATCGTGTTTGTAAAGAATGTTAATCATTCTAAATACACAGCACTGTAGAACTGTAGTAACTGTTTCCCTCAGTTTTCAGTGCCGTCCCTGACCAAACACCTCACTGTCACCTAGGAACTCAATGACTGTGCAATTGGTCTGATGTCAGTAAGAATACCCAACTAGTCCTGGCTTCCATGATATTGCCCCTTTCAGCACTGCAATTACTGCATGCTGAGAAATTCCTTAATAACAGGATAAATGGGACTACCTGTCACCAACCTCAGAACTACTGACACAGAAACTCTTGGAGGGAAGGACCAGCAACCTCTTTTTATCAAGCTCTCCAAGTGAGTACAACATAGGTTAGAAATTAAAAACATTATCATGCAGGAACATATACAAAATAACAAGCAATACATTCCCTTTACAAAATTCTCTAAAATTGTTACATACAAACTGACTTTATTCTAGTTATAATTTTGAAGTTAATGAGAATGAACTATATACACCGCAATTTTCTTAAAAACTCATAAAATACATCTGAATTAGTAACCCATAAGATTGTATGCTTCCTTGTATCTTTTACTGTTTTCTCCATACTTACCTTTACCCATTCCTATCACTTTCGTTTTCCTTCTTTAGAGTCTTGTTTTGGTCTAGCAGATCGAGCAAACTGCTAATGCATTAAAATTAAGGCTTCCATCGAGAACACAAGTGAATTTTTTTTATCATCAAATTCTAATATATAAAAATACATACTATACAGTTCTAGTATCTAATATAGAAAATAGCACTAAAATTATTTTCCTAATTCTTTATAACTGTCCCTTTTTTTACCTGTACCCTCACTAATTCTAATTTAAAACTTGAATTTACTACAAGACAGTTATGCAATGATATATTTTGGACATTGGAATACCAAAGCAGAAATGTGAATTATAATAAAACTACAGTGGAATCCCTTCCAGTTACCCCAAGTATATTTCTAGATAGTATGTCTTGACGTTAACATGAGGAAATAATTCAGAGCTGAATAAATGTATAAACTTGGCTGAACTTTTCCTTACATTGCAAAAGTTATATTATTTTCCAATAATGATTAAGAAAATCTGTCATCTGATCTAAGGCACATTGAACTGTTAAGTAAAAATGCAACCTTGAATAACAATTGCTGACAATTATTATAAATGGTAACTTGAAATTAATTATTTATACCCCACTGCTAAAAACCCCAGGAATTTAGAATGGATTGGTTTAAAGGATACAACCACCATGGGTTTTCCAAAAAGAACATAGCCATTAGCTTCTTTTAAGGCTTTAGCTGCTGCTTTTTCATTTGGAAGTCCAACGAAAGCTTGTCCTTTCATGCGTCCTTCTTTCATCAAGCGGATATCAAACCTAGAAGTAGTAAAAAAAAAAAAAAAAAAAGTAATTAAGACTTAAAGCATATCAATTTTAAAACCATGGGTCAAAGGTTTTAACAATCCACAACTTGGCCATTTCAATGTAACAACAGAACTATTAGATAAGTATTAAAACTAGATATTCTAAAATTCTATTTTGTATTAATCTTAACAAGCAACAATTATATTATGCTCATAATTTTAAAATTATATCACTAGCAAATATAAAAGCGAACTCTTAATTTGTTGTTGTACTATGATCCAGGGTTCTAATAGAGTTACATTATCAACAAAGCAAGCTCAAATTTTTTATTTAATCTTTTTTATCACACAACTTGCAATGAGTTCAATATTATATACTCAAGTGATTTACATGTAAACCACATAAGTGGTTTACATTGTTGAATTTACATTATTATAAGCATTTAGAGATCAAAGCGGTAGATACTTAACAGATACTCAAAGCTATCATTTTATTAATGGTACGTGGACAAAGAATGACTCTTCCAAGCATAAGGATAAAGTCACACATTATTCCTAGTATACTCTCCCAGTATCTTATTATACAGTACAACATATATAAACATTTTCAAGAGATAACTTTTTAAAAGCTATTTATAAAAATGAGATTGCAATTTACAGTGAGAACATGATCTAATATTATAAACCCCAAAAACATAAAACAAAAAGCTGAGCATTGTGATATATGCTTATAATTGCAGAGGTAGGGAGGTAGAAACAGATGGCCCCGATTTACTGGCCAGCCAGATGAGCCATCTTCACAACTTGGTGAGTATTAGGCCAATATAAACTGTGATGTAACTCTCAATGGTTTTATTAAATAAGAAACACAGAGCCAAATGCAGAGTTAAAAGCCCAAGAGGTCAGAGCAGCAGCCAAGAGTTAAGATCAAAACCACCTTCTTACCCCTCACTGTCGCTGTCGTCTTTCCTGTCAGGAAGAGACCTACTTCCTATGTATCTGTCTTTTTATTGACTTTCTGTTCTGCCTTCTCATTGGTTGAAAACCCAACCACATGACCTCCTCGTCACTGCCTGTCTATAGAGACCTCCAGGTCTTCTATGGTTGGTATTGAGATTAAAGGCATGTGTCTCCATGCTGGTGGTGTCCTTGAACACACAGAGATCTGCCTATCATGTGATCGGGATTAAGGGCGTGTGCTACCACTGCCAGACTTCTGCTAAATGGCTTGTTATTAGCTCTGACCCCTAGGCAACATTATTTATTAACATACAAATAAAATCACATTTCTGCACAAATAAAGTATCACCATAATAAACACTTGTCTCAAGCAAACAAACAAAAGTTAAAAAAGGAGGGTGTGTGCTGAGGCACATACAAACACACACAGGTGTAACCACCCATCTATGCATGTTTGTGAACACACGTGAAAATGCAATGCAATTTTTTTTTTGCAGTGAAATTTTTTTAAACATCATTACTTGTCTCAGAGGAAACAATCATTTGGGGATCTACAGCTTTTTCTAAATTGATATGTTCTTTCACCTCAAATTGTAATTATAGGCAAGAAAATACCGAAAATAATCTTTACAATATATATCTTGTATGTACTTGTACATATGAACATAAAATATATCCAAAAGACACACAGGCAGGTAAGATTTTAAAAGTATTGGTTTTACTTAGAAATTAAATAGCTAATGTTATTTCAGAAATGCAAATTTATGAGCTCTGACCCAACTAGAAAACCTATCTTTGGAGGTGGGCCAACAAAACCAATGAACCAAGCTCTCCAGGTGGATATTAGGCAATGCAAAAAAAAAGAAAGAAAGAAAAAGAAAAAAGAAAAGTTGAGTAACAATGCTTTAGTGTCAAAGGGCTTTGGACAAAATATATTAGAAGACCTGTATGTATAAATAAGAATTTAGCAGAATATAACAATAAGAATTTCTTTACATGTAGTTTATCAGCTTCCATACTAGGAAAAATTGAACAGTTGTAACAAATATCTGATTTAAAATATTAAAAATTTTATTTGCTCATTTATATAGAAATTCATCTATTCCTGTTCTATACTTCTAAAAAGACATTTATGTAAGAGAACAAATGATTCATCATGTGGGTTTTAGCACTAAAAAAAAAAAAAAAAAAAAAAAAACAAGCATAACATGGTGAATTTGTAACAGCTAAAACATAATTTGAGATTATGTCTGCCACTTACATTATCCGCTGTGTTTCTGAAGAAAAGTCAACATATCTTCCAAAGATAAATTTAAGGTCCTAGAATTTGAAAGTAATAATAAAAAAAGGTAAGAAGAAAATAGACAAATAAGAAAACTGGGGGAAAAAGTACAATAACAAAATCAAATTGCAAATTTCACCTTACCTTTTCTTGAACATGTCTAGCTAAATTCTTTACATAAATTCGGCAGTTTGGTTCACCAGGTTCGTAACTTCTGAAAACTGAAAGGTTTTCCATTTCTTTTTAATAACAAAGCAAAATAAAGATGTAAAATTAAAATACAATTAGCAACTTTTTAAATAAAATAACATTCAATTGTAACTGCTAAAAAGGCAAAAATAAGCTTCATGAAAATGTTAACAGGTAATAGTAACATTATACAAATAGATATGAAATTATTCATTAAATCTAAAATGAATTATATAAAAAAACTGAACTTTTGTTTAAAATTTCTCAATTATATAGAATTAAAATTTGTCCCCAAAACCAGATTAAGGGTTCTTTAAGAGGAGTCACTTTATTAAAAATCCTAAATATGTGATGACAACCATTTATATAACTATTCTGCTTAAAATGAACTTCCCAAATCACTAGTCACTGTCATATTCAAACATAAGAATAATGCATTCAGCCGGGCAGTGATGGCGCACGCCTTTAATCCCAGCACTCGGGAGGCAGAGCCTGGTGGATCTCTGTGAGTTCGAGGCCAGCCTGGTCTACAAAGCGAGTTCCAGGAAAGGCGCAAAGCTACACAGAGAAACCCTGTCTCAAAAAACTAAAAGAAAAAAAAAACAAAAAAGAATAATGCATTCAAAATTAATAGCCAGAAATATCAGACAAAAGTCTTCAAAGCCCTAACAGTTCCTCATATTTACTGCCAGTTATCTGCTTTGGGAAACTAGATTTTATATTCAAATATATTAATTGGAGGCTGATTCCTTATTACTGTGGAGAAAGGTACTTGTAACAACAATGACAAATCATTAAATTAAAAAATAAATAAATAAAAAATCATTTAGCAGTGTGGTGGTTTGAATGTGAATGGGGCCTATGGGCGCCTATGTTTAAATACTTGGTCCCCAGTTGGTAGAACTGTTTGGGAAGGATTAGGAGGTGTGGCCTTGGAGGAGGACAGGTGTCAGTGGGAGCAAGCTTTGAGATTTCTAAAGACTAGGACCATTCCTGGTATGCTTGCTCTTCCTCCAGTTTGTGATCAAGACATGAGCATTCAGTTGTTCCTACCATGATGTCTTTGTTCTGCCATCATGGACTTTAAAACATGAACCCAACTACACGCTTCTCTTGTAAGTTGCCTTGGTCCTGGTATTTTGTCATATAGAGAATTATTAAAATATATGAAAAAAATTTTAAAGTAAAGAATATTGGAATATTAAATTCTAAATTCAGATTTCTAATCACCATTTTTAATAATCACCTTGTATCGACTTTAGATATTATATGATAATGATTTGTCAGCTATTTTATATATAGAATATGTAACTTCAGACTTGTGAGACTTATTGATTACCCAAATATTTACTGCAAGCACTGTATGGTAAGGAACTTCCCCAGTACTAGGTGAGTCTTTAAAAGAAGAAATGTCAACAAACTAATTATAGAGAGACACTAAAGTGCCCATCTTAATGTAAATGACCCATAGAGTTTTCTAATTTCAGTAAGACATGAAAAATAGAAGTAGGACACTAAATACAAGATGGATTATGAGGTGGTTTATGTGATTATATTACCTTCTCTAGAAATTCGACCCTTTTCCAACTCCCTTCGAGAAATACATTGTGAGGGCATTTCATCAGAATCATCTTTAATCTCTTCTGTGATGCTCAAATTAGGTTTGGGGAAAATTTTTCCAAATCCTGTATTTGAATCATCAAGTCCAGTATCTGGTAAATCTAAGAGTTCAACATTAGCATCAGTCATTAAATAAATAAATGAATGAATGAATGAAACAAACCAAAAAACACTCATGTTTGAAAACATACTTTAGGTTTCTTTTCCTGTACAATTTACAAAAGTATCATTGGGTAATTTTTAGTGTTTCTCAGTATCTCAGGACAGAAGCAGGCTAATCTTTTCTGTAAAGTCCAAAGAATAGTGGTTTAGGGTTTTGTGGGCGAGGACAAGAATTTGGTTTTGACTATTCAGTTCTGTTATTGTAGCATGAAGACAGCCATAGACAACAGCTAAAGAGTCAAAGGCTTACTTTGTAGTGTTAGTTAGGGGGCAAAGAGAAAAGAAAATGAATTAAGCTTTAGCATACTCAATTTGATGTACCAAATGGGAATCTGATGAAAATGCTCAATGTTAGATAAGAGTGTGTATATTGGTATGTAACAATTAATTGTTTAACCTCTCCCTCCAAAATAGTAATAACTACATGGTAAAATAAATGTGTAATCTTTTATAAAAGTACAATCTTACTGCTTTCAGCATAAATTAGAAGATTTGTGTCAACATGTTAGGCTGAAATGAACAGAACAAAAGAGTTCGTTCCATTTGGGGATACAAAAAGATTCCATTAACCCCCTCCCCACCGCTCCAGGAAAAGTAAGTAATAATGTTCATCCTTCATGGACAACTATTTCATACTTAAAAAATTATTTAACTAAGTATTTTTCAAGTTAACATTTTACTTTAGATAGCAACACACTAAATTTTAAAAATATGAATTTTAGCATTAGCAGTAACTGACTAGAACTGGCAAAAAAATGTTGGATGATGAATAGGGTTAAGTACTACTAGAAGTCCTCCAAATAAAAGCAAGCACTGGAAACTCAAAAGTTAGCTGGGGAAATGAAGCAAAACATGTTACATATAAGATTATAAAAGTCTTAATATAGGATATATATTATACAAATAGAATATCTTTAGTCAAAAAACATAAAACAGTGAAAAGACCTCATGTTTCTACTATCCAACAATTACAGCTTTGACACTGATACAGAATGGGATGATGGACTGCCTTTCATAAACATATAGAACGTTTTATTCGAGCATATAATTGTATCCCATAAATGTGTTTAATTTTTATTTATCAATTATACTAAAAGAATATTAATGAAAGGTGACTAGCCGTTAAATGAGAAACAATGAAAAATAGAAACATTAAAAATAAAGCTAATTCGGGCTGTAGAGATGGCTCAGCAGTTAAGAGCACTGGCTGCTCTTCCAGAGGTTCTGAGTTCAATTCCCGGCAATCACAGGGTGGCTCACAACGATCCATAATGAGATCTAGTGCCCTCTTCTGGCCTGCAAGCATTCATGCAAGCAGAACACTGTATACATAATAAATAAATAAATCTAAAAAAATAACATAAAATAAAGCTAACTCAAAAGGCAATACATTGTTACTTACTATGCACAAAAAACGGAAAAAGAAATTAAAAGTTCACTCACTACATATACAGTCCTTACTAGAATTCTTTATTATAAAAAGTAATCAAACATGCAACAAGAAATATACTCTAGTATTTACTCAACAAATTAAAAAGAATGAGGCTGGAATTACAAGTTTGCTCAGTTTAAGAAGTACTGGTGACTAACCCAGAGCTCTATGCGTGCTCTCTACCAACTGAGCTACAGCCTCAGTCTGTAACTGCATACTTCAAGTAAAGCAGACAAACACTACTATAAAATTGGATTTTAACATAAAAAAAGGTTGTCAAGTGTATGAAATAACTAAAGTTTTCTTACCGGAATGTTTTTCCTCATTGTTCTGTTCCTTCTCCAAATCGTTCTTAAATGCTGCTGGCATGTTGGTAGATATATTGAATTCAATTTTTTTACTGCCTACAGGTTGTGGTTGGTCAAATACATCTGATGGTAACAGCACAGGATGCAAACTGGTACTTATAAACAATCATAAGATTATTATTTAAAATAAAATTCTAAGAACATTATTTCAGATTTTCTTTAAATTTAAAAAGCTCATGATGATAAAATATTCTATACATTTTAGGCACTACACAAACTGACTAGATTTAGTACTCCAATAAAGCTCAACAGATGGTAATGGTACTATTAAACACCTAATTTATAAATGAGGGAACTGCGGTTAAATCAAAGTTTAATAAATAAAATCATTTGGTAAATAAAGAAGTTGGGACTTATCTATTTATTTTAAACAGCAGATTTACCAGGGACAGGGAGGTGCGCACTTGTTCAGTCAGTGTAAAAGAATAACTTTTGTTTGTCATTTATTTTTTATGTGTGGTGAGGAACATTTTTAGGTCAGAAGACAAACTGTAGTAGATAGCTCTTTCCTTCCGCCATGTGGATATTTAGGATCAAACTCTAGTCATCACCACTAGCCACTAGAACTTTTTCCCATAAAAGCACCTTGCCAGACCATTTAACACAGGAGTAAGCTTGGTAGATGTAGCAGAGAATTACTTTGAACTTCAAATCATCTGTGTCCCTCTCCCAAGTGCTAGGATTACAGGTATATACCTCATCATCTGGCAGTATTTTTAATACAGTATATATTGTATACTGTGTAATCAGTGCTGTGGTATGCAACTTAACAGTGACTAGCTACAAGTAGATAGTGAATTTCTATAAAGAAAAATGTCTAACTACTCAACATTTTTATACAGATTGTATGATGAAATAATATTTTGAGTATAATGGATTAAGTAATTATAACTAGCCTTGATTTGCTCATTTTTACTGTGTAGTACGGCTACTAGAAAATGTGGCTTACATTGTTTTTGCTGTTTAGCATTAAGAGTTAAAAGCATGGGACTGCCATGTCAACACAGAAAGAGGTTAAGGTGTCATAATTTCCACATAAGATTATTTCTATTAAAACATAACTTGTAGAAGAGTTAAATGAAGTTAAAATTGCAATCACTAGTAAGAAATAGTAAATATGCCTAATAAGAGAAGATACGAATGTGAAATGAATACTGAATATTATTAAATGCTGGTAAACAAATAGAATTTTGAAAACTTCCTAAGTTTGGCAAACAGAAACCCAGTAATCAAGTAAGAAAACTGACAAACTGCCAGACTGAAGAATAATGAGTTAAGTGAATAATCAAAGCACATACAAACAACCCTCATTTCATAAGTATACATAAAACTACCTGTGTGAAGTTGACGAAGGTATATTCAACATATCCTTTATTTTTCGCTTTTTTCTCACTTGGCGTGGCTTTGTGGCTTTGGGTCTTTTGGGCTGAAGATTTGCTAGTTCCATTAGTTTGTTCATTCTGTTAAGAAAAGGGAAGGTAAACAAGAGTTGATATTCTAGAATATAGTTTATATCTCTAATACGAATATATTTAAAACTAATTAGGATAACTTTAAAGCCACCAATAAGCATAATCAATATGAACAAAATTCACATTCTAAATTGACCTGTACCATTTAAATCTTATTTTTAATAAAACCATGCATTTAAAATATTTACACAAAGTGACTAGAGAGTCTGTCTAGTGTTTTATCATTGATTTTGGTGTATCCTTACAAAACAATGTAACAAAAATTCAGGACATTTTCCCTTCCTATTTTTAAGCATTCTGTCTTATTAACCTGTTTTCCTATGGAATATGAATGATGCGTCCCAATGGTATTCCATAAATTCCTTGTGCATGACTAGATGTCTAGAAATTCCTTATTCTGATCATTATTTCTTTTATTACCTCATTAGCATCACCATATTTATTAATTTCTCCATCATATTTAGTTGAAGAAAAAAGTTGCCAAATACTAAAGTTGCTTATAAGTAACAAGTAGAAACTGACAACTGTTATCTCATATACAACTTTCTTCCATTATGACTCTGGTCAGTTAATATTTAGAATGGATCCTATTTGGATAGTTTGGTATCTGTCACAAAGAAGCAATTAAAAACAACTCAGTACAACTCTCTCAGGGCTTCATTTATGAAACTTGAAGGTAAAATGGATATACACATACAACACATTATATAGAAAGGTGGGTGGGGTTAAATATTTTAGGCTATTTTTCTAATAAACAGGTGAAAGTATAAGCATATACTACATAGTAGGAAATTTCACAACAATCAAGTCTCATAAAAACTTGCATTAAAAAGTTGAGCACGGTAGCACATGGTTGTAATCCAGCACTCAAGGAACAGTGGAAGGAAGATTTCAAACTTGGCTCAGTATATATAGCAAATTCCTGGCAACTAGGGCTAAAGAGTAGGACTGTTTCTAGAAGTCTCCAAACCAAACACAATAAAAATGTTATTAAAAATACAAACATTTGAATATTCAAAACACACGCTAAGCATTAAAATTATCCACCCAAAATATACCAACCTTCTAAAACAAGACCAGGCATATAATAAAAAATTAATAAATATTTGACACCTAAATATATTTCTTAAAAATTTTGTCTTATTCCCAGCAGGTAATAAAAATATGCATTAGAAATTGGATTTGTTTTCTTAAGACTCAAGATGAATTTTAGGCAGAATTTCATGCTACATTTCTAATTAGAAACTTACAAAAATTAAAATGGGTTTAGTCTAGAATACTAGAGCATTTATAATTAGGATTACTACTTTTACTTTTTAAAGTATTCCTAAATAGCACTACAAGTTTATTAAAAATTTTTTAAATTATCTAAGAGAATAATTAACAAAATGTAATATTTTATATTACTCTTCAGCTTGAGCAGGGGTCACACTAATCTTCTCTGTATCGTTCCAATCTTAGTGTATGTGCTGCCGAAGAGAGCTCTACTAGCTTGTAGTGAGATAGATTATCATGAAGAACTACCTGCTTTGCTAAATATCTCCCTTCCAAAAAGATTCTATCCATCTTACTTAGTAGTTTGAGTCCCACCAGCAATTTGACTTTTCCAAAGAGAAGAAAAACCACTATTTAGATGGGCAATGGCTTAGTAAAACTGTTGCTGATTAAATATGTTTTCCAAGTCTCTGTTTGGGTCCTGACTCATACTAATACTTCCTTTTATATGTGACTTTTTGCATAGTTAGTGAAGATTCACGTCATTACCCATTAATTAACATAAGGTAGGGGTTGGCCCAAGGACCAAATCAAGCTAGCTATCCGCTCTTGTATATACATAAAGTTTTGCTGGAACACACCACACCTATTCATGAGGTATAAATATGGCTGCTTTCCTGCCATGAGAGAAGTTGTGATATGTGACCAACACCACACCTCACTCACGAAGTAAAAGCACTTCTTCTTTGGATTTACAAAGAAAATGTTTGGCCAATTCTTGTACTAAGATAGGTTTAGTTATAAGCCAGAAAACTGTTAAGGAATACACAATTATTTTTTTAACAGAAACTTTAAATAAACATGTAGCATCTCCAGGTCAACGAATGACGGCAGTAACTAGCATGAATGGTTATGCATAGAGAACTTCCAAAGTTCCTCTAGAAATCATTCTCAAGAGGACAGAGTATAGGGCAATCAGCTGTTCAAAATATGAAGCCAATTAATGCTTATTATCTAAGAAGCTTTTTTCTATAGAAGTCATGACAAACACTGAATAATTAGTGAATAAAATAATATATCCAAAGAAATGTGGGTTATCTTCCTTACTGCTTATAGTATATGATCAGATGATAATATACAACTATGTTTTATGCAAGAGATGTCTTATTTAACAAATATTAATGATTTAACATATATTCAATGCTATTACAACTTTGGCCCAATTTTCTCTGTAAGGTTTAGTTTCCTTGAGCTTAACATCACTAGACCACAGTTAAACTTTATAACTGAAAATCATTTTGAATGTATTAATTAGTAATAAAACAAAAGTATGAAAAACAAATGAAATTAGACCATTAAAAAAAACATGACACACGTGACTAGTATGAGAATTAAAACAAGAATGTAGGAGATAACTGCTATAATTTGAATATGAACTATTTCCCAATGGCCTATTTGTGAAAAGCTTGATTTCAAACATGGTAGAAGCTGCTGAGGACCCTTGGGTTACTTAGGATATATTCTCAAAGAGGTTGTGGAACCCTGATGTCTTCATTTCTCTTGTTTTTATGGTTCTAAGTTGAGTACTCCTGTGCTGTCTTGTGATCTGCTATGATGGACTGTTTAACCAGAGATATAAAGAAGTGGGAACACAGCTGGCTGGTCATGGACTGTACCCTCCCAAACTGTGAGCCAAAGACAATTTTGTTTTTCATATTGACTCTCAGGTACTTCAGTATAATGCTGATATGCTGACTAACAACTGGCCACTTTGTATCTCATTTAGGATCCTATGTGTCAAGTGTGCTAGTTTTTCAGGACATTGTTTATATTCTTATCTATGAAACACCTTATAAATACATCAAGCCCTTGTAAAAAAAAAAATTACAAGTTAGGAAAACAATGAAATTTTTCTTTTTAAAGATGACCAAAGGTAATTTCGGAGCTACTAAAATTTTAACAAGCAAAGTAACAAATACAGAACCATAAATAATGAGGCTCAATTGTACTCCATGATACTAAGATCATCAATCTAAAAAATTATTCTTTATCCAAAAACTTTTTCAAAGACCCTAGTATTCACTGAGCTACTGCATATGCTCAAGATCTTGGGGAGGTTTGAGATACAATTTAATGCAGTCTAATTTTGAATAAATTACATGTGAAATATAGGAAGAGCAAGTCTTTTCCACATTCTTATTCTTAGAACAAAAATAAGTCATATCTGTCATATCACAAACCTCTGTCGGTCCTCCTCATCACTGCTTTCATATTCTGATTCTTTACTAGATAAATCCTCATCCTCATCTGGCAAGGGAGGTTCCTCAGGTGGTTGAGGTGATGTAGGAGGAAGGGGTGCATGCAATGGCACATAGTCCTCATACTATTTAAAAGAACAAAACAAACACTATGGAAACTAATGATATTTACAGAGTACACAAATTATTTTGTATAAATTCTTGATTCTCATGAACAGACTCTCATGCCACAGAAATACTTGATTCTTATTTCTCTTCCTCGATACATTCAATGTACATTCAGAAAATATCTGTGATGGTAGACTATTCGATGGTAACAGTTTTGTCTTCTATATTCCTTAGCCATCTAACTATATAAAACTTGGAAATATACCTTGTATTTCACCATGTAAATTACCCCATGGAATAAGAACTTAAAGTCTACATGTAATCCTCCCTCTTTCTAATCTACAGTATGTTCTAAACAACATGGATAGGCACATAATGAAGACAACTTGGGTCTTATGAATGACTCAAAACATCCCTCCTTCCCTATTATTTGAAATGGAATGGCCATGACGACATGACTTACTGTATTAATAGTATCTAATATTACCTTAATAAATTTCTAAGCAACAAGTACAGTAGTATCATAATAAAAGTTAGAAAGCTAGTAATTCATACAACAGAATAGTAGTCAACTTCAAAGAAAACTCTTTTATCTGTATGTTAAAAGACAAAATAATTTTCCATTAATACTATTGATAAATACAGAGTACCACTGTGAAATAACTTCAAGAGCTGACAGCCTACTATGTAAATTAGTGAACAACTTTTAGCAACCTTATTTACCTTTCCAAATGAAGTTAGTTGTATCTGAATTTAAACCACAGCAACAAATTTTTAGATAATTCATTTAAATAAAATTATCTTTTACTTACAGGATAATATGATATTTGGGATGAAAGGACAGAAAACTGGAAGAAATTTTGGCTTTATTAATGAAAGCGATTCTTCCATAGTCTCACTTTCTTCCATTTTCAGTTCTCAACTTTACTATTAGCATATCCAAAGTTGTTACAAAACTGCTAACATTTACCACTCAGGAAAGAAAATGGTGGCTTCCAAAACTCTAAGAACTTCTTACCATAGGCGGTCGTGCAGTAATAGGTCCAAATGGGGTGGGCAAATTCATTTTATTCATAAGATGAAGCACCTTAAAGGAGCAAAATATTTAAAAGTCACATGGAATTAAAGTCATGATTAATCTCGTATATTTTACATAATTAAAAAAATTCAGAAAAACATTCTTTTGTTTTAAGAATAGTCTCACTACATAGACCAGGCTGATCTTGACTCAGAGATCCTCCTGCCTCTGCCTTCTCAGTGTTGGAATTTAAGGCCTGTACTACTATATCCAGCATGTAAAAACACGCTTGATTAATGTAGTAAAAACCAGTCACTCTCTGGCCTTCATAGTTCTTAAAACAAGAGAAAATAAGGCACCAGTGTATATCAGAACCTTGATCCTCCTACAATATTTCTCATTTCTACAAATACATTGATTTCAATTCCTATTACTAAGAATACAATGGTCTTACAATGTAAAAACCTATGAAAATGTTCTCATACAATTGTCCTTGTTTACTGGGAGACCATGAAACAAAGAAAATACATACCATCTATATTTTATAATTCTAAGAAGTAACATATTACCATCAAGTTTTTCAAGCATTTGCCAAACCAATACCTTTTCTTTAAGGATTTCTATAAGTCAGTGCTACACTCAAGTAACAGTTATAACAAAGTACATCATCCAATGTAGCCCTCTATTAGTATCCATTCACTGTATTTATGAAGTTATTATTTGAGAGTAGCATGTGACAATTCACCACATTTAAAACACTAAATAGAACACTGTCTCTCTGGAATTAGTAAGTTTCCTATGTTATAAATATGTTACAAGCATCAGCATCAGCACAGTTATCTGAAATACCAAGTTATAAACCTCATCCAATATGCGAAAGTGAAGTGGACTCTGCATACCTGCACATAGAACTTGGGCACGCTTGCCAGAGCATTCACTATATTTGCAAGGATTGTACTTGAAGGTGGTGGGTACATATATTTGAGGCATGAATTTAGAGGAAAAGTCAGCCTAAAAAAAATGAAGAAATAGTCTTATTACATTTTAATAATTCCCTATCAGTAACTCACTTTAGATAATCTATTAACACACAAAGCTGCCAAAATGTTAACAGTCATGCATTTATCTTATTTAATATTCCTATTACCTTAAAGAAAATGGAAGCATTTCTTATCAGCGTTCATTTATAGACCTGAACTCTTTAACACACTTTATGCCTAATTAAATTCAGTGAAGAAAAAAAACTCATACCTAAAAACTTTTTTTCAAAACATTAAATTATACATGACATATTAAAAAGTTGACTTTAAAAACTATCCTACCTAGCCGGGCGGTGGTGGCGCATGCCTTTAATCCCAGCACTTGGGAGGCAGAGCCAGGCGGATCTCTGTGAGTTCGAGGCCAGCCTGGGCTACCAAGTGAGTTCCAGGAAAGGCGCAAAGCTACACAGAGAAACCCTGTCTCGAAAAACCAAAAAAAAAAACTATCCTACTTACAGAATATATGTATAATATACATATACACACATACACAGCAACAAAGGCAGAATAATAACAAATAACAAAAATGCAAACCCATGATTTGGTGCAATTCCATTTTCTATTGTTAAAAAGTCAGGCTCTTTCTTCTCTTTATCATCTTCCACAATGTCATCCGATCTAGAACATACAGAATCACAAATGATACTATCTTTAGAAAGAGTGAGAAACTGTATAGATACTATCTTTAGAAAGAGTGAGAAACTGTATACAGAAAAGAAAAATCTTTTCAAACATGTCATTATGAAATCAATTTCATTAGAAAAAAAAACACAAATAAGCACTGATGAGAAAAAAGAGTATAATTAATCTCTACTTAATCCCCATAGCCAGTTTATGAACATGGTATGGCAATTTCAAATGATCCCAAGAAAACTAAAATACACATTATATTATTCAGGTACTGGGGAACTCAGATCTTTTTAATGTGCATCTATAAACAAAATTACAGATTTGGAGGGTCTTACCTCTTTCACCTTCATCTCTTAAATTTCTGATTCTAGTAACATTGGGTCTTACATTAAAAGGCCTAGGATGTTGTAATTCAGTCAAGTTCCTGGATGATGAAGGTAGTTTGGGTATTAAACTTTGAGCTCTACTAGTGTAATGAAACTCTGCAAATGCTAGGATTGGAACTAAAATACTGTAATTTTTTTTCTTTTATTGAAAATAGAGTTTTTTCCTCATACAATATATCCTGATTATAGTCCCCTCCTTCTACTCTTCTCAGCTCCTCTCCACTTCCCCTCCCCTCTGGATCTGCTCCCTTTCTCTCTGTCATTAGAAAAGAACAGGCTTCTAAGAGGTAACAACCAAACATGACAAGATATAATAAGGATGAAGGAAAAAACTATTACACTGAAGTTGAATAGAGCAACTCAGTAGAAGGAAAAGGGTCCCAAGAGAAGGCAAAAGAGTCAGAGATATTTCCACTCTCACTACTAGGAGTCTCACAAAAACACCAAGCTAACAACCATAACATATGCAGAGGACCTAGCACAGACCCATGCAGGTTCCATGACTGCTGCTTGAGTCTCTGTGCGCCCCTATGAGCCCTGCTTAATTGATTCTGTGGGCTGTGTCCTCCATCTCCCCCTTGGCTCCTACAATCTTTCTACCTCCTCTTCTACGTGATTCCCTGACTTCTGGGGACGGGGGGAATCTGATGGCACTAGGGGCAGCTGGGGACTGGAGTAGAATAGGGGAGAGATAAGGTGGAGGGAGAGAGTTAGGGGAGAGCAGCTGGAACTGGGGGAAACATTGGTGAGTGGTGTGGAAACCTAGTGCAGTGGAAACTTCCTGAAATGTATGAAGGTGATCCTAATGTGAGGACCCCAGTAATGGGGGATATGGAGTCTCAACTGACCATCTCTTGTTGCCAGACAAGGCCTCCAGTTTAGGGACTGGGTTACACTAGATTGAGTTGCTGGCCAACAGGGTCTCATGGGAATTCTCAAACAACTGTTTGCTGTTGCTAAGACAAAGGGTTGCTCTCCATAAACTGACAGTGAGGCCCCAATGCCAAGGACAACATCCACACAAACTCACTGAACAAGGAGGGAGAAACTGAGCTGGTGCCTACAAGGAAGCTTTACCCCTATATTCTAGTGTCTTTGGTGCAGTAAGGTACTCTGCAGGCTACAAAAAGAGAAATGTGGACAGCAACCCAGTTACAAAACCTTTAACCTACAATCTGTCCTGCCTGCAACATACGCTAGGGCTATAGTGGCACAGAACCTGTGGGAGTAGCCAACCATGTCCAATTTTACTTAAGGCCCACTCCACTAGAGAGAACTCATGCCTAACACTGCTTGGGTAACTGAGAACCAGAGACTAAACAGCTCAGAGATCTACAGTAAAAACAAACACTATTGGTCTTATAAAAAAAAAAAATTCATTAAAATGACTCCTGATGATATCCTGCCATACTCATGGATCAGTGTCTTATTCACTCATCAGAGAGACTTCCTCCAGCAGCAGAGGGAAAGACGCAGAGACCCACAGCCAGACATTATGCACAGAGGGTCCAAATGGGAAGTCAACAAAAAAGCCATGCCTATTAAGGACACCTTATTATCTCTAATAGTGTTATTCCTACAGGTTGAAATCTGAAATCTACTGAAATTTGAAACTTTGAGGCAACATGTTACAAATTAGAAAATTCTACTGGTAATCTTATAAAACAGATCATAGAACAGGGACACACTGAAAATATTATATAAATTACCTTCAGACAAAGTATACAAGGCAGATATGAAACAAACAAATTCCACATTTAGGCTTGGGATAACACTTCAAAGATAATCATGTATTGGTAAATATTCCAAAGAAAATAATATTTATCCCAAACATTTTGGGCAATGGATAACCAACCTATAGTTGCCCTTCTTCTATAAAAGTAGAATGCCATCCACCCCACTTCCTTTTACTTTTGTTATCTTTCAAGGCTTAGTCCTCAGCACAACTAGAAACAGAACTACTGCTTTACTTTTTAGATTCATTAGAGCAACATTTTATTATGCTTTCAACTTATTTTGTCTGTCAACAATGCAATAACTGTAAAAATGATTGAAAACACACACACACACATCCTTTTCAAGATGGTAGGAAAATATGAACATCTACGCACCTTTTCTTTTTCTCTGTATTTGAGGTGGGACATGGGGAATGAACTCGATCTTGCTCTTTTGCAAATTCAACAACTAAAGTATGGCCTAGAAGTTTCAGCTGATGGAGTCTTGTCAATGCCTTTAGGTACGGCAATAAAAAAATATGATTAAAAAAATTACTTGTTAAATCATTTTAATTGAACCAAATTTATATTCTTTTACTATTAATATTGTATCTATTTCCTTCTCAGGCTATTTTATTAATATTACTTCTCAAATTACTGTACTTAATGAAATCTAACTGACTCCAATATTCTGTTAACTGCTTATACCTAAGCTGAATATAGCAACAACAAAAAAAAAAACCATAATAAATCTTCCGGTCATACACAGTAAATTCCAACCACAAAAATCTCAAGGTGACCCTTAGTGACACTAAACAATTATATATCACTATCTTGGCCTAAATTGCACTAATCTCCAAGAGAAAATTTTGTTATGTTTTCCTTGGTATGTAACCTCACAGTTTCTTCTCCTATCCACTTAGCATAGCACCTTCTGCCCTACTTTGGAGACAAAAGAGTACTCTGAACTATAAATCCTATTTGCATCCTCATGTTCCACTTTGTATCTGTTACCACGAATTAGCTGTCCACATATTCTAAATCCAGCTGTTATCAACTAAACTCCATCCTCTATCATCTCATGTCCTTCTTTAGCTACTCTTTGGACCAGTGGTTCTCAACCTTTCTAATGCTGAGACCCTTTAATACATTTCCTCATGTTGTGGTGACCCCCAACCATAAAAGTATTTATTTCATTGCTACTCCATAACTTTAATTTTGCTAGAGTTATGAGTTGTAACATATAACTGATATGTAGGATAGCTGATATTTGACCTGAAAAGCGTTGTGACCCACAGATTGAGACCCAGTGCAATAAACATGAGCGAATGTTTCAGAATATTCCTTTACACTGTATGAAGATGTATCACTGTGATTCGTTAATGAACAGCTAAATGGCCAAGAGCTAGCAGGAAGAGATTAGGTGGGACTTCCAGTGAGAGAGGACTCAGAAAGGAAGAAGGGTGAGTTGCAAGCCAGACATGGAGAAATCAGCATGAGCAATACGAAGAGATGAGGTAATGAGCCACACAACAGAATGTAGATTAAAATAAATGGGTTAATTTAAGTTATAAGAGCTAGTAGGACAAGCCTAAGCTAAGGCCAAGCTTTCATAATTAATGCCTCAACTGAAGGTACCAGGCTCTGCTGACTCCTCATGGGAAGCTTTATCTTGTCAGAGGAGGGAATGGAGGATGGGTTGAGGTGGGGGAGGCTGGGGGTGGGAGGAGGGAAGAGAGGGGGATCTGTGGTTAGTATGTAAAATGAATAAAAAAAATTCATATTTTAAAAAAAAAGTCTTCGTGTTGTGTCGCTATTTAGGAGCTGGCAGTACAGAGAAAGACTTGCTACAAGGGCAAGTATTAACTACATTATGTTTTACGTCATCATTCAAGTACATAAACTATATTCTATAATAATCATATAAAATCATTCAGACAATTATGGGCCAAAATATAGATGCAAACAAGTTTAATATCTCTTATCCGATACGTCTGGGATCTGAATTCAGATTTTTGGGTTCTTTCATGTTTTAAATATTCACAGACATAATCAAGCATCATGGGGGTAACATCTAAGTCTAAACATGGCATTCACTTGCATCATATATGACACACAGACTCAAGAAACTTATACAGTATTTTTAATGTATGCAGTTTGACTGTGGCCTGTTAACTGAGATAGAGAGTAAACCTTTTCACTTGTGACATGTCAGAGGTCAGAACATTCAAGTTTTAGATCATCTCACATTAAGGATGCTCCATATTTTTAAAATTACAGTATTCCTCCTTGATGAAGCTTTGGGTTATTGCTATTTTTTTCTCCCTGTTTTATGAAGAGTATGGGCAGAGTGTGGTTTAATCTCAAAACCCAGAAGGCAGAGGCAGAAGCAGTGGCAAAGTAAATCTCTGAGTTGGATGCCAGCCTGGTCTACACAGTGAGCTCCAGGTCAATCACGACTACATTGTGAGATCTTGTTTCCAAAAGAGGTCCTGATTAACTCTGATTAGTAAGACTATGCTCATATCTCAGTTATGTCTCAATCACAGACTCTCTCCCTAATTTTTCTTTTGCATCAATATAACATGTTTTTCAGTTTTGCATTTCCTTGTTCTTCCTTTCTTTTTTTAAAATGCAGTATTTCTCTAGGCTTATTTTTTCTTCTTGATTAATCATCCTTTGGCCCATCATAGTCATTTACATATTTGAAGAAACTTTCTTAACCTTGCTCAGCACAAGAAAATATTTTAAAATGTTTATGATTTCCATAGAAGTATTCCAAAGACTCCTCAAAATTAACAGATAACGTAAGAATTCATTACACATCTGTGTAAAGACCCTCATCTTCCTTTTTCATATAAGCTAATCAGTCCAAAGATCTTGAACTAGGGCTGGGAAGATAGCTCACCTGGTAAAGGTGCTTGCTGCCAAGACTGATAATCTGAGTTCTATCCTGAGACATATACTGTGGAAGGAGAAACCAACTCCTGTCCTCTGACCTCCACATCTGTGTAGTGGCAAATGTGCAAATAAAACATGCACATACGTGAAAATAAATAAAACTGTAAAAAAAATATTAAGATCCTGAACTACTCTTTTGTTGTTAATCCTATATCACTAAGACCTACAAACTATTTCTGTAGAACTGGAATTTCAACTCAGGACCCTGTGTATCCTATGCAATACTCTACTGAATTACTTCTGTAGCCTAAGACCCATAAACAACTTCTCTCCAAAGAATACATGCACTTCTCTCTCTCTATTTTCTTACTGCCCTCTTCAGACTCATATTCTTGCCTCTGCCTCTAAAACAGCTTCCCATGTTGTCTATCTCCAATTTTGCTCTTCATCCAATCCACTATTTAAGGATCAACCCTATCAGATACTTTTCATATTTTTCACCTTCTCAAAAGTTTCAGTTCTTTTAAGTTACTTCCTGAACAAAATTTAATAACTCTCTTCTACTTAAATATACTCAGTTTTTTAGTTCTATTACTGCCACTGCCTTTAGCTCCTGCCTGACTTATTAAGAGTCTATGCCCAATTTTACTGTTTCAGAAACTTGAAAGAACAATTTCTCCTGTTTTAGTCTCAAAATTTAATGACTCATTTGAGGCCTAGTTCAAAGATAATAGCTTTTACAACTGATTCCTTAGGTTTATACCTTTTAATATTAAAAAAGTATTATAAATATTACAGAGATATTTATATAATATCCTTTAGAATTTCCTTAAAAACTTATATATGATGTTATTCTTACCTTGCTTAATAATTTATGATTCTTACATCTCAGTATCTAACCACTGGACAAGCTTTAAAATCTGCTAAGCTAATTGTAACCTTTTGGGGAAACTCTTGGAAGAGAAATGATTTTGCTTTTGAAAATAACAGTTTACTATTACCTTCTACTTCTGTCCTAAGATGGGATAAGAAATCTCTGAAAGCTTTAATAATAAAGAAAAAGACATACCTTTATTGCTGCTTTTTCATTAGGGAAAGTAGCAAATGCTGTATGTTTCTGAAAAAAAATTAAGGTACATATTATTTCCAGTATGATTTGTTTCTCATAAAAAGTAACATTTTAACGGAATTTAATATACTAGGAAAAGTATAGGAAAGGATGGAAATTGTAGACTATTTATTTATTTGCTAGTTTCAGTTTGTTTGTTTGTACTAGTTTCAGTCTAGTGGTTCGAAATCTTCTTTGGGTCAAATTTCTTGAACTTGAAATCTCTTCAGCCTTTGAACATAAGTGGATAAGGACAAACACAGTATATAATAAAAACTGTTTATAATAGCAAACAGTTCAACAGACCACAACTTCAAAAATATCTATATTGGGAGGCTAGAGGAATGGGTCTGTGGTAAAAATGGGTAGGGCTCTTCCCAAGGACCTCAGCTGGGATCCCAATACCCGTGTCAGGCAGCTTCATAACCACCTGTACAACTCCAGCTCTAGGAGACCCACTCTAGTCTGCAAGGGCACATACACTCCAGCACCCCCACCCAAACGCACATAATTTAAAGTAAAATAAAGGGTAAAACATCTCCACTTTTCAAAAAGGATCAATCTTAAAACATTTAAACATATGGAATACCCTCTTATTCACCACACCCAAAGATCTTAAATTTTCATACTGTCCAAGATAAAATTTAAAAGCATTTATTAATAGCAGAAGCACCCCTCAAATTAAATGTTCTCTTTCTGCTTTATTTTTCTAATTCGTTTCAACAGTATGAGTCTAGTTTTTTAATTCTGGGTATTTTTAAAACCATCCAGAAAAGGTGAAAGGAATTATGTTACTGAAAAGTTATATTTTGGTAAATTTGAGTTTTTTTTATTATAAGTCTAAAGTTGTCCAATCTGACCCAACATGACCTTAGTATACTTAAATTGCGCCTGAGAATATTTTTTATTTGAATTTGTTGGAAATACATAACACTAAGTGCTCAAAATCGGTCTTTCTTCTAAATTAACAAGTCTGAATTTTGAGTATACAATTAAGACTCCTGAAATTTTAAAACCATTGGTGTCTTGGCTCCATTATCTTGTATAGACTTAGAAAAATCAAACCTTCGCTCGAAGAAGACAAAAAAAAAAACCAAAAAACCCTAACTGATCATTCCAGAAGGACTTTCAACTCTCAAAATAGCGTTCGCTGAAAGATTACTTCGGGAAAGTTTCCTGTACTGTCAGAAACATATGACATCGAGTTCACTCAGCCTTCTGAAACAATGTAATTCCTGCTCTACAACCCAAAATTGAAAAAAAAAAAAAGTCCTTTCTTCACACGTCTGTAACAACCTCACAGAAATCTGTCCATGTCCAGCGCGTTGTGAATTCGCGGGGTGGACGCACAAACGGTCCACAAGACCACACAGCGTCACTCCGCGCCCACGCCCCTCCTCGGCCCTCTGCGCAGGGCCGTGATGACGTCACGGCCGGGCTGGCGGCGCACGCGCAGAGCGCCGGCCTCGTCCCCGCCCACCGAGTCCCTTCGGCCCGGCCCGACCCGGCCCGCCCCCCCGCGAAGTGCGCACGCTTACCAGGCGCCCCTTATCGGACAGGACGCGCACCGACTGCGCCCCGAAGTACTTGAGCAAGTCCTCCTTCTCCTCGGCCGTCAGCTCGGCCGGCAGGTGCCTGACGAGGAGGGTGCGCTCTCCCCGGGGCGGGGAGAGCGAAGCGGAGCCTGGGCCTCCTCGCGGCAGCGGCAGCGGCGGCTCGGGCACCGCCATCGTCCACGCGGAAGCAGCCAGAGACAGGCGCTCCCTCCGCCCGCGCTCCGGTCCCGACCCCGGCGTCCACAGCGGCTGCGGGGCAGGAGGGTTCCGCCTCGCGCTAAGGATTCTGGAACCTGGGAAATGCCGCGAGAGTTGGCCTCCTCGCGAGAATGGCCTCCCGGAGCTCTCGGCGGGCTCTTATTAGACAGAGTAGGGAGAGCCGCGGTTTAAATTCGGGGAGACGTTGAAAGAAAACAGGGGCGAAAGAAACACCATTGTTAAAGGACCAGACGTCTAATCGAAGAAGAGGAACCTCAGTCGTGGGAAAGACAGAGGCTGTGTAGCCCCAAGGACCGAGTGCTGAGGGAGCGGGTGTTAGTATTGAACGCTAACATCGTGTCCGGGCTGTTGCTCTCTGGGAACTCAATCCAGGTTTTCAGGAAATCAGTCTGACTGGCGGAGGGCAACTCTCTAGAAATGCTAAGTGTGCTCCTAGAATTTGGGAGTGGTGAAACCCAGAAGTAGCCATCCTGCGTATGAATCATGTCGGCAGGAGAACACACCTTTGTCAGTAGGCATATACAGCCTGAAAGCCATGATTCCCTGCCATGGTTTATTAGACACCAGCATTGGTGACCTCCAGGAAGAAATGGACTAAAACGTATAAGCATACATATACGTGTATGTAAGTGCTCTAACCACCTCACGAAGGAGAGTACTGCCATAGATTAAGTCACATTGCTAGTCCATAGGTGACATTGATCCCTTGCACCTAACTGGGATCTACACTCTTGTGATCGAGATTAGGCCATGAGGATCAGAAATAATATCCCTTACAGATTAATCCAAAGTGCATATGTACAATCTGTAGAACCAGGTTATCTTTTACTTCTCTTTTAATTTGCTTGGTGGATGTGAACCAGTAAACAACCCAAGTTATGCTGTGAGGAAGCATTGGTTGGGGAGTGAAGGGAGGAACTACAATAACATTGACAGGCCATATGAATGGTAGAGGTTTGTTAAGAACCGTAAGTGTAGAAACCGGCAGACTTTGTAAAGAAGGTGTGGAAGGAATGACTAAATTTTAGGTTTGAAATTTCCTCCTTGATTTCACTGTGAAAAATAAAGCAGAGGTCTGGCATGGTGGCACACCCTTTCAATCCCAGCCGGGAGGCAGAGGCAGGTGGATCTCTGTGGTTTTTGAGGCCAGCATGGTCTACACAGTGAATTCTAGGACAACCGGAGCTATGCATGTCTCAAAAGAATAAGTAAATGAAAAGAATGTAAGGAAGAAAAGAAAGTGGAAGCACTAAGAGAGGAAAGCCGGTTCCATTTTCACAAGAAGTTACTAGTTTCCAAGTATCAGACAGGAAAACATTTTATATTACCTCCCCACCAATACAATATTATTTATGGGGCAAGTTCCCTTCATAAGCTCTTAGCAATGGACATTTTCATTTTTATTTATTTATTTGCTGCTTGGTCAGTAAGTTTGTTGTCTTTAACAAGAAAAAAAAATCTTCATAGATGTAGCACGACTCTTAAAAGGTCTTATTAATAAAACCAAACCCGGAGCCAGGTATTGGGGTGAACACTGAAAGATCAGAGAAACAGAACATGTCACAGCTAACCTCACCTCACCAACTTCTCAGCCAATCCTGTTTCCTCAGACTGGAAGCCTGGGAGTCCTCATCTGGAATGAATCTCAGCTGAACTGCTGCTAAAAACCTAAAAGCTTAACCGGGCTCTAGTTCCTGATCCTCACACCTTATCTGTCTCTCTTCTTCCTGCCATCACTTCCTGGGATTAAAGGTGTGAGTCACCATGCCTGGCTGTTTCCAGTGTGGCTTTGAACTCACAGAAATCCAGATGGATCTCTGCCTTTGGAATGCTAGGATTAAAGGTGTGTGTGCCACCATCTTCTGGCCTCTATATCTAGTGGCTGTTCTGTTCTCTGACCCCAGATAAGTTCGTTAGGGTGCACAATATGTTGGGGAACACAGTATCACCACAATAGATAATTGCGTTACCTCTCAGCAGCCCATTCCTGAGCTCTGAGGAAGCTTGCCTGCTTTTGAGCAACTCAATCTTCTAGGCAAGGAAGGACATTTGGTTCTACCTCTTTCATTTGTCTCCTGGCCTTCTTCTCACAGACTGGGTTCTGTCAGGTAGCAGCATGAGCTTTCGTATGTATCTCCTCCATCATGTCTGGAGTTATGATGCTCGTTATGAACTGAGAACTGTTTCCTATAAGCATGTTCATCTTCCTCCATTAGGTAACACATGCAGTCTGTGACATTCTGACCCATGCTGTGCTTTTAGTGTACTAAACAAGCACTGAACTTGCTTTCAAAAGCAAGGAATCTTTTGGTACTATGAGGGATAGATAGGCCTCCATCTACCGTACCCCTCAGGCCCCCCAAAACTTTTATTTCCAGTTGTAGTTCAGGCAAGACCTGCATCCAAATAGCAAGTGAATGCACCAGGCTGACCACCACTGCTTTCCACATTGTTTTCATCTCACTTTGGCCTTTATATAGATCTTGTCCAGGCCAAGCCTATTGAGAAGCCTTTGGGACAGCCTCAGGCCAGTACTATAGCCTGCAGCATAATTTGTCAGGCCAATTTTCACACTGTATTCTGGCAGTTCATGTGCATATGCTACACAGACTATCATATGTCCTTCTACAGGCATACACAATCTAGCAGCTGATGTTTCTGTTAGTTACACAAACTATCATCCTGTGTTTGAGTGAGTTGTACTTATTTTAGTCCTGGATCACCAATCGTTTCTGAGCATAGTAGTCAGTTTCACCCTCTCACTGCCTTCTGAATCTCACTTGGTATCTTAAAGTAGGCCTTATTCTTGACAACTTTAATAAAGCCCATCCTGAGGAAGAGAAACGCACAATCTCAGCTCCACACAGACCACAGGCCTGCTGGGACTAGGTAGGGAAAGACCAGAATCTCGTGCACCCATCTTAATTTTTTACCTAGTTAAAATGTACATGTGCTTTTTGATCTAGAAATTCTTTTTTAATCCAATAGTGAAAAAAAAATGACTTCTGTGTTTAAGTAGGTGGAGTGTTTGCTTTGGTTGGACCTATGCAAACAGTGGAGCAAAAACTATGGAGTTAACCCTCCACTCAAGAAATATTCTGTTTTATAATGATGGCACTGTGTTGATCGGGTCAAGTGAGCAGTAGATAGCGACCAATTTGAACTCATTGGTAACACATGTGTACCTCACTTCGCCTACTCCTCAGCTGATCTTGTTTTCTCAGACTGAATGCCTCTGAGTCCTCACCCCTGATGGTCTCAGTAGTTCCTGTCTCCTAAAGCCATATATACTGTTCTCCACCCAGTCATGTCACTTCCTGGGATTTAAGGCGTGTGTGCTTTCCAAGCAAAAGCATGAGATCTCAAGTGCCGGGATGTAAGACATGTGCCACCACTGCATGACTCTGTTCCCAGAGTGGCCTGGAACTCACAGAGATCCAGACGGCACTCTGCCTCCCAAATGATGGGATTAAGGGTATGCACTACCACTGTCTGGCCTCTAAGTCTAAAATGGTGACTGGCTTTCTCCACTGATCCCCAGATAAGTTTATTAGGATACACAATATATCACCACAGACAGATGATCAAGATCCCTTCTAACTAAGTTATGATACAGGGCTGGAGAGTTAATGCATCCTTGAAGTAAAACTGTAACGGTATACTACAAGTCTTGCCAACTGAAAAAACAAAAACAAACAAACAAAAAAAAAAACTGCTTCTGGTAGTCCTATTGACAGGTACTGAGCAAAAGGCATTTGATTGATCAATAAATTCATATCATGTACCAAAAGATGAGTTAATCTCAAGTAAGCACAGCACATCTAATACAGCAGCTGCAATTGGAATCACTACCTGATTGCATTTTTGATAGCCAGTTGTCATTCTCCACCATCCATCTTCGATAGGAGAGTTAAAGGGAGATGTGTTGGAAACCATCACCTCTGCATCTTTCAAGTCCTTGATGGTGGCTCTAATTTCTGGAAACCCTCCAGGGATGTGATACTGGTTTTGATTGACAAATATCCTTTGCAGAAGAAGCTCTTAGAGCTTCCATTTAGCCTTTCCAAACATAATAGCCCACACTCCATGGGTTAGAGAGCCAATGTGAGAATTCTTCCAACTTCTAAGTATTTCTATCCTAATTACACATTGTGGGACTAGGAAAATAACCACAGGATGAGTTCGGGGACCCACTGGACCTACTGTGAGTTGGACATCAACCAAAACTTCATTCATCACCTTATCTTCATAAGCCCCTACTTTACCTTGATAGTGACATTTTTTTTTTAGAATCTCTCAGAATTCAGAACCAATACCCAATAGCCCTCAGAAAGTTTGATTGTTTCCTTTCCCCCAGTGTACAGTTACCCTTGTAAAAGGCCTTTGGGGAGAGACTGCAGAGAGGCTAACAGTGAAATTTTAGGTATTTTATCAAAGTCCTTCCTCTAGGAAAATTCAGCCTGATCCAGCTTTATGTTCCTTCCACCATTATCCCGTACCCTTAAAGTCCATTCCCACGCATATTCCTGAGACTTCTGCTTGAAAGAACTGGTAAACAAAGCTCTTTTGTAGTGTAGCACACCTCTTGGTTATACTTTCTTCTTCCCCTCTAGCAGCCTGCTTTGCCTTAATAAGTCTGATTATACATCTAGAGGGCCCCGAGGGACATCAGTATTGTCTTGCCTGGCATTTCCTTCAGAGAAAGTCACTGCTGGTTTAGCAGACCATGAAGGATTAATTTTCTCAGTCTAAGGTGGCAAAGGTAATATTTCAGGGAGTGGCTATGTGAGTACATCTCCTGCTGAGGATAGAGAGACTACTTCCTCAGGAGATATAAACCCTTGAGAATCTGAGGGTTCAAAGTTCTTAGCTTCAATAAGGCCCTCCTACACATCCCAATCCCAAGTTTCAAGATCTCAGTAAAGACTTTTTAATTATCCCAGTTAATGCCCTCACTTTAATTGCTAACACCTGAGGATGAGACTTGAATTTTTTAATTGTAATTCAACCATCTTCTAATGAGGGCTGCAGTTTGATTTTCTACAACTTGAGCTCTGTGGCTGCTGGAGAG